ATCTCATCCACCAAATGTCGTCGCCCTTCCATCGTATCCTGTCCAAACTCCCGTGTCAATATAGAATTCAAACTCATCCTGATCAGATTTGGCGGCACAGTCTGTGACGTCACGTATCGAAAATATCTACCTCACGGTCATCGAAAAACCCCTGGTATATCGCTCCCTACATACCATGAACCGCCCAACCGCCTAACATCCTACCACTTTGGCTAATTAGATCGGAACATGAAAAACAACATTCCAAATCAAATCTGTGTTTAAATGAAAGTAAAGGCAAGTTAGTGTACATATGAACACAATCCTCGTTTTTTTTAAACAGACCCATTATGTCATACAAATCCCAATCTTTAGTCGCTCTTCAACAAAGCACTGGAAAAAAGCAAAAATATCCTACGCAACTACATCAAAGAAAATATCTTCCATCCAAACAATAGTAGGTCTTTCCTTTCCAATATGGTCCTTAAATTACCTCAATGGTCTTAGTGCAACTTATGAAGTAACCTCACCATCTTCCATTCTTAGGGCGAGAGTCATAAGAAGATCAATCCATCACACCACTCTTAAAGATGTCGCTTTTATATAAAGCGACCCGGTCATGGGCCAACTGGAATCTGTCGGGGGCCAATACAAATGTTCTTCGTACTCGGCCACCAGGAGGGCCCGCAGATTCACTGCAACTCACACTACACAACAAATGCATGTCTATTTGTATCTCATCCTCTATCGTCAACTACCTCTGCTGTGCAACCCCTGGCACACGCCGCTACCCCATACCTTTCTCTTCTATAATATTGCTCAGTCTATAATATAATCGAGGATATATATATATAATAGAGAGTGAGATTATACTAGAATTTACCCTCAGCCAGAAGTGCATCCAGTGATATGACTGCTTACAAGTCAGTATATCTCTAAATATAATCAATATCTTTCTATATAGAAATAAGAACCTCTCAGATTTCCAAATCTCGCATGTATATAAGTTCAAATATTAGAAATGCCTTTGGAGACTGCATATTGTGCATTAGATAAAAACAAGATAATAATATTTACAGTTCACTATCATCACCGATTTCATCACACAAACTACGGAAAGTATTCTGTCAATGTGTTTTCACGTCGGCACAATTTCACAGACAATATACCATCTCACGCTCTGTAGATCACAAGCGTCAACAGATTAGATCTAGCGTATTGTGCAGCTGCGAATCGGGAAATAACACTGAGTACGCAGCCTGCAATTGGCGTACAGCTAACTAGGAGTATATGCCTACTTTATAGTAAGAAAACGCGTAATACCTGAAAATTCTACCACAGATATAATAAGTTACTAATAGATAAAAAAAGTGAGATTTCTAAATAATACGCCGGAATTATGCTTGGGATAATAATCTGAGGGACATGTGGCCCCCGGCCGCCATTTGCCGCCAACCCCTGGTCTAAACCGCCTACCGGCAAAGGTTCTAACAAACAATGGGCTCTCAACACTTGTTGACAGAGCAGTTTCTTCCATGCAAAGGGTTCTGAAAAATACAGTTTTTCCAAGCCGAAAATTATTTATCTGGGGATGGGGACCCCGACGGCAATGGAATACAGCCTACTTCTTGTATACACCTTCTTCGGCGCCACGCCATTATTCCACTCCCATACCGCTAGCACACAGCATCTACTTAGCCAATGCTAACCCAACAAGGGTGAGAATATCACCTTTGAGCCAATCCAAAGAACCACGCTATTCATGACAACACTTATTCGTAGGGCGCGAGACTAACGATAAACCGCCCGGCCGACAAGACACCAACCCTGCTCTAAACCGTCACATCCGAAGGTTGCTAACCAAAACATGCTTGCAACACTTGTTGAAGAGCAGGCATGCTCCACAAAGGTGGTCTTAAAAAGATATTTTCAGAAGCCAATATTTCTGGATGACACCTCAGCCCTGGCTTTAAAACCATGGCTCGCGAACCTTCAGAGCCAATCAGAGGAAAAAGCTATAACCAAATCACATGATAGACCACCAGTAGGTACAAATATACTCTCGAGCATTGGTCAAATGTCCCAGTCAATATCAGACTTTTAGGCTGCTGGGAGATTATCACATTTCACCATGAAAATGCTACCAGAACAAAAGAGTAGCCCACAAACGCCACCGGCAAACAGAGCATGAGCTAGAGCCTAAATGCTCGACAATGTTTCTACCACTGAAGCAGGAGTAAAGCTTGGGCTAGGCTTGGTTTGATTCTCCTCTCATACTAAGCTAACTTCAAGACGCTCGCTATTCGAATGAACAAGAGAGAAAAAACTCTACAAATCTACATCTGGCCCACTGTATGAAGCAATGTGCCTCTTAAATCATGCTATTCATAAGACAAGGTATACGGCATACAGCCCCTAAATTTACAGTCTGAATATATATACCTATCTAAACTGTAAAAGAGAGTAAAGCAGACAGTTGGTCTGCTCTGAGCCTGTCTAAGCACGACTGCCGAGTAAAGCAAACTCCAGGCAACTCAAATGGCTGACTTCGATGTACGTTCATAAGATGTACAAGTGCCTCCAAAACCACAACGTAAATAATATCAAAATTCAGTCTAATTTACTGCTCTATACCCTAAACGGACATACGAGACAAATATAAACGCTCAGAAAACACAACGGAGCCACACAAAGCATATTCCAGCTAAAAACAAATAGCCAAAATAACAGATTATGAATTATCCCAGGCCAGTCACATGCTAATAATGCCCAACTAGCAAGAGAGGTAACTCTGTCATTCGAAAATACCACAGACCAAATAAAATAAATATATAATAGATCACCATCATATAGCATCAACATGCCCATTTTAGAAGTCCAGAACCAACCTCAGATAAAAAACAAACACAATCAAATAGGAGAATCTGCAGTAGCTGAACGAACTACAAGAAGCCCTTATCCAAACTACACTGTCTAATAAATCCAGACTGTAAAAAGCCTCACATAGGTAAATGTATAGAACCTATAAATAATTCTTGCAGAGGCCCGAATATTGCGGAGCCATCTCAAAAAATCACACTAATCTTGAGTTAGCGCAGTATCAGTTAACTAAGACACACAACAATTTAATAGGTACAATTGACCTCTCTCTAAGTCCGGCACTATAACTGAGCCACTTATCTATCAGCAGAGCGCTAAATCTAATTACACATCATTCCATTATCTGAACATACATAATCCACACTCCGCTGCTCTCAATTTTGATCACTAAATGGGATCGCAAACTGGAGTACAACACACGGTAAAATTATTGTAAACTCATTAGCAGCGATAAAGACACATATCTTCACAATAGGGATTCAACGATCACTGACAGTCAGCGATCACATCATGATCGCAAACATCTACAACACTTCTGAACACGGTAGCACAGATCTAACAACAAGACCCATCGTCATGAAAATCTCCAAGCTAAGCAATACAACAAATATAAATTGCACCTATTCAGCGATCTTCCACAACTGGAGATAGCACAATTGCACAAGACCCAGCATCTTCAGATAGACAGATAGAATTGAGGTGTCAGAATAATGTTTTCTTAAAAGCTGTCTGCAGATGATACGAATGTTGCGCTATCAAAAAGTGGCTTTGGCACAAACAGCTGTTATCTCATTGGTTGCACTTTAAAATGTCAGTTGCAACCAAGTTCATAAATTGAATTTATGGCGCAACGGGCAATAGTGAACATAATTAGTAGTGTAACAGTTAAGGCACTCAAATACCGGCATACTTTAAAGGTGACCTATCAAGCAAAATGCACTTTTGTACGTCTTTTATACATGAATATGTGTCCCCGGTGTTCCAGGGAACTCACCAAGTGTCAGAAAACACAACCCTCTCTATTTCCCTCCATACCCAAATCTCTTAAAAAGGGGCTGCAACGGATCTGATACAGACTGATCCAGATTTGAAAACTTCTATGACGTCACAGAAGTGGCGCTACGGCTATTGGGCCAACTCCACTAATCAGGAGGAGACAGCCACGGACATTGCCGTTCGAAAGCGCTGGAGACGCTGTAGTACATATCCCAGGCCTGTAGATGGTGCTGTTCTCACAGAATTAGCCCATGAAAAGACAGTGTTAAATTGAGCGAAATGAGGAATGGCTAAAATGCTTGATCTGTTTGGTATTTTGAAAAATAAAAAGTATAAATATGCCTTATATAGGTATGGTCCTACACTATATTATTCAAATATAGCATGATAGACATGATGATAGATATGATAAATAATGATACTCAGTGTGTATATGTATGAAGATAATAGGATATAGTGCAAGAGTAAATAAATATAAAAAGAGAGAACCGTGTAGCAATGCTCTCACATGTGATTATTTTGCCAAACATAATGACTATATGAGCAAATGACATAAACAGTCAAAAATTAAAATAGATATCGACGAGGATGGGATTCGAACCCACGCGTGCAGAGCACAATGGATTAGCAGTCCATCGCCTTAACCACTCGGCCACCTCGTCTGTGGATCTACGAATATATACGCAGACATTTTTATAGACGATACAAATCATGGAAAACACATTCTTTATTCATTTTTGTTAGAGTACGCTTTCACAAAGACTAACGAAATAGTGGCATTACCTCTTTCATCCTACATTAAACAGCTAGCTAGCGAGCCATATGCTATACTATGCTAAAAGATCACATTATGTTGCCCCTCTACTCCCGACATTACGGTTATTACGGATCTACATGCGCCGCTGTCGCATCACAGCAGAATGGTTGCAACAGTTATTTTGCAAGAAGATCACGCAGACAGGATTAGATCCGTCGTTTTGTTTTTGTGCTATCGAGAGCTGCATGAATATCTGCAGAAGCTATGCCAGTAACCAGCAGAATGTGCAAGTATTTGTTGTATTTCCACCCTGATAGGTTGCACTGTTAGCATTGTGATAGCAATGTGGGTAATGCTAGGACAGAAATAGCTCAAGGAAACAGCTGCTTGCTCCGGTGTTTGGAGCTGCTTTATGCACACTAGTTGTCCAGTTTGCAGTTTCTCTGGAATGCATCTGTCCAAGAAATGCTCGGTTTTCAAAGTGGTGCTGAGTGCTCTGCTGATAGTGGCGCTCCTGCAGCTCATTTACCTGTCCTTCTTATCCAAGTTTCACGGTAATCAGCAGCGGTACCGATACTCTGAGCTTTTTGGGGGCTCTGGGGGCAAGAAGAATGGGCACCCCGAGAAAAACTCACGGAAGGAGCGTCTGAGGTTCTCCCTGTCTACTGGAGGGATCTTTGACAACAGTGGTCAGTACCGGGTGTACAAGAACTTGATAAAAAGTGATTTCACCACAAATCATAAACCAGGTTCCATCCCCAGCTCCCATGTCCTGGCTTTAGCCACACACACAACCATCAACAACCTGCATCACCTGGAATCTCTTGTGGAAAGGTGGCACAACCCTCTCTCTGTGGCCATATTCGCACACGGGCAAGATGTCAAGTTTGCCACAGCTCTGGTTTATGCTCTCAGCTTCTTCTGCCCCCAGATTCAGTCTCTGGTGGACTTCCACTTGGTGTGCCTCTCAGGAGAGATGGCCAGTTTCCCTGAGCAGGACCGTGAGCATTTTGCAGGGCTTGAAGACTGTGCCTCTGTGTTTTCCAGACTGGAGACGCACAGGGATAAATACAAGAACTATGCCATCAGTGGAAACGTCTCCTACCCCAACAACCTCCTGCGTAACGTAGCCCGAGGTGGCACAGAGTCCTCCTACATCCTGGTCATTGACATCGACATGATGCCGAGCGCTGACCTCCACCAGCAGTTTGAGGCCATGATCTTGGGTCGTGAGACAGCGAGTGATGAGGTTTTTGTGTTGCCTGCCTTTGAGATCCGCCACGCAAGGAAGATGCCCGGAAACAAGGCAGAGTTGGTTCAGCTCTACCAGGTCGGTGAGGTCCGGCCGTTTTATGAAGAGCTGTGTTCTCGCTGTCAGGCCCCCACCAACTACTCGCGGTGGGTCAACAGCCACGTTAGAGGATCCGAACCCCTGGAAGTTGGCTACACGCTCACCTGGGTTGATCCCTGGGAGCCTTTCTACATCGGGCCCCACACTGTGCCCCTCTATGATGAGAACTTCAAGCAATATGGATTCAATCGTATCAGCCAGGTTTGTACAATTTCAACATTTGACACTTATATCCTCAAAGTCCACATTCTAGCTGATGAACACTGTGAAATTCAGTTGAAACAAAGTTATGTAATTGGACTGTTTTTGTCCTGTTTGTATATAGTTTAATGCTCAACAAGTTGAAATGAAAACGTGCAAAAAAGTGACGTTTCTGTCACAACTTCCTTCTCTTGCACTGATTAGACTGCAGCATATATTTAATCACAAAATCAACCGCGTCTTATTGTCTCTTTTACAACCAAAAAAGCATTAGAAAGTGCTATTATACTTTCAAACAATAAGGTAAAAAATGTAGGATTTTATTAGCCTAATTCATTTAATCCCTTTCTATGACGAAGAGTAAGTACAATTGAGTCCCTTTTTATTCTCGCAGTGCTGATGCAATCCATTGCAAGATTTACAGTATTAGCAAAAAACGTTTGACTGATGAGGCGAGTTGAAGCATTATTTACTTATCAATGTTTTTGTCTAACCAACTGTCCAACATAGTAGAACCTGTAGACTTATGGTATCCTGTTCTGACAGGAGTTTTCTGAGGTCTGAGAAAACCATACTATTCATGATTCCCTTTGACCTCGCTTCAATGCATCTTATTTCCATATTTCAGCTCTTCTTTCTTGTTTCCTTGTCTGTACCTTTCTTCTCACCTCCCCTGTCCTCTTGTCTCCTCTCCTTTTCCTTTCACATCTTCACACCTCCATGTCTGTCTGCTGCTCACCCTGTCTTTCTGTCTCCCCCCTCAGGCCTGCGAGCTCCAAGTCGCTGGATACAAGTTCTCGGTGCTGAGCTCAGCTTTCTTGGTGCACCGGGGATTCAAGATCCAGGGGGAGTTTCACGCCAAGAAGGACGAGGAGAACAAACGCAACCGGGTTCTGTTTCGCAGCTTCAAAGAGGGCCTGAAAACAAAATACCCATCCTCCAACCGACGCTGCTGATCCTGTCGTACGTTGTTCTTCTCTACCTTAAATGAACCAGTTTTTCTTTTAAATTCTGACGGCAACTCTTGGATTTATATCAAGTAAAACATTTCTGCTGGTTGGGACAGAAAGAAAGAAGTGATCAATCAAGACTGAAAAACTGGCAAGCAACTTTTTGGAATCAAAATCCAAAATGTATAATAATTAGAGGTACACTTTCTATTTTACAACATTTTTGAGCTTGTCCAGATACAAAGAAGATCTCTACATATACTTCGAGATATCCTAAGAAACAAAAGTTCTAACCTCAGGTTATCTACTGTAACATAACGCAGATATACTATAGCAGAAAAAAAAATCCATTGCACTTTAAATACGGGCAAAGGGTCAAGAATATCTTTTTTCTAAGATATTTTCGGCTATTGAGTACTAATAATGAATTGAAACAAAATGGCATCGCAATCTGATTATGAGGTAAACTACAAACCCAGTTTTTTAAAGGGCCCATGTCATGCTTTTCCGGTTATTACCCTTCCCCTTGTGTGTTATGAAGGTTTTTATGCATGTAAACGGTCTGCAGAGTCAAAAACCTCAAAGTACACCCTGTAGCGAGTAAAACTCTAACACAGAAAAGACCTCCCCAAAACGCCTCGTTGGTGAAACGTCACTGTCCATTTGATTCTTCCGGGCACGAGATTACGTAAACACGTACCCGGAACTAAATGGACCAATCCCTGGAGCCGTTACGCTATGTCCATGGAGCCGTTACGTTAAGCCCCCTCTGATTGGTCCAAATTGACCAATCCACGGACTTCCTCACACACACACTCAGTGCAGTCAGCTCTGCTGATTTCTCCTCCCTGGCTGCAGGCTGATAACAGACAGTTGGGATCGCGGCGAAATTCTCTCTTCAGACCCATTCTCACAGCGTTTATCAACCTTTTTCTTACTCAATATCAAGCCACACTTATTGTTTTTACTTCGGCTGTGACTTTGTGTGTGCTCAGGATGAGTTTGGCTGTGTTTTGCTGTGTATCGCTAAACAAGGAAACAACACCTTCACGGAGCTTAGCGCGATTCACAACGTCCCGACCAATCAGAGCACACTGGGCTCACAGGGGAGGATGGGGGCTGGAGCTACTGGAGCTGAAATTCAGTGAATACACGTAGTTTACAGAGATGCTGTATGAGAAACCAAAGTGATTTTGGAAAATTGCACAATATAAATCTATTCTAGTAGACCTCAACAATGGAATTATGATCAGTACAAATGGCCATGACANTTATTGAAGTAAAATACGGTCAGAAAGGTGTAACTAGTAATCCTAGCACACGAAAGAGTAATAGAATAAACATTTTTACATATATAAAACCAAAAACCCACAAACGAAATGTTTTTGTTTGTTAAAATTACCTCAGGTGATAAATGACAGCATTAATCAACCACTCAAAGCGCTTTTACTAACTCATGTTAGCATTCACACACACAAGCTGCCACCTGTTTAGGAGAAAATAACATTTACCCTCTCACACACGGTTATTTTGTCACATAGTGGCACACCATTGACTACAGCATTAGGAGCCATGGAGTTCAGTATATTGGATATTTTGACATTTTTGATCACTTGATTTAGGGCTGCTCGATTATGGCAAAAATCCTAATCTCGATTATTTGGGTCAATAATTGATATCACGATTATTAAAAACGATTATCCATTTACTTTGAAAAGATCCATTTATTGAAAAGAAAATTGTGAACAGTATGTTTTTAAGAGTTGATTACCCTGAACTTTAACTATAATTCAACTGAAAAAACTATTAAAAAAGAAAACAATTATACATTTATTTATTTTTTAATAAAATTAATAATCGTTTTATTTCGATTTCGGTTGTTTTCATAATCGTTGCAAACCAAAATCGTAATCAAGATTAAAATACGATTTAATTGCACAGCCCTACTGTTTAGCAAAGGGAGTTAGCATTCCACTCTGCTTTCATCCTCTCGAATCAATTCAGACTTTCTTCTAAAACATTAATGGGTTTTGTGTTTGCCTGTGAAATGAAGCACCATTCACAGTCTCACAGCGCTGCCCCTTTTGAAACATGATGAACCGATGAAAACGGTTTCCTTTCATCTGTAGTAGGTTACTATGATCATTCAGGTCTGAGTTAGAAATGAAACTATCTTTGCACATGACATAAGAATTAGAAATGTCTTAAACTTTCGTTGGACTGTCTGCATAATTACATGAATATTATTCAGACACCTCATTAGCTTGCATATGCTTGCATCAAGCTTCTATAATGTATGCTAACATATTTTTTGTAACTATCTAAACGGATGCCACTGACTACATTTCTACGTTAAGTGAACTAGCTTGGCAAATATCCTGCTTGTCGTCATGTTTATTAGTCTGTTATGCCATCAATATAGGTGAGTGGACTAGTCTGCAAAGAAACTAATATTAAGTGAGGATATCGTTTTTTCTTAAGGCTTAAGTGAACATTTTACATATTCTATACACCACTTGATTTAATAAGTCTTCCTGTGTATTGATGTGTGTCAGTCAGATTGTCGGCATTTTTAGGTAGCTCCTGAATGCACCACACACATCTGTTCTTTTTATCGCATTATTCATTTGAACCGATGCATTTACAGTTTGTAACAAATAAATATTTTGAAGCTCAACACTTGGCCCAACAATGGCTTGCTGTGTTGGTTAAGTAAGGAGCAAAGTTCAACAGTCAAGTTGCTGCGGCTAAGTCTAGATCATACCTGCTATTTCTAGTCAAATCGGAGAGGATTCATTTATGAAACCATTTGTGTTCTCTCTGGGTTTCTGGATTATTATTGTTTAACTTTATTTAAGATTGGTCTGTATTGTTATGTCTTGAATTATAAGCTTTTGCCCAGAGAGTTGTTGGTTCAAACCCTCAGATACATTGCAATACTTTGAGGAGTGAAGGTTCAAGTTCTGCGCATCAACTACTGTTAAGATGTTGCAAAACCGGAAGCAAGAGGCAACTCTGTATAGGCGCTTTCACACCAAGTACTTTTCCCAGGAATAGTTCCCGGAACTTTTCCCCAGAACTTTTATTTCCTGGAACTATCTATTCAATCGCGTTCACACCGGAATAAGTCCCTGAGGGAGCTGCTGACGTTACTTCTTCTGCTTTGGGTTTACTGGCAGGCCGCAAACAGCTTCACGGCGTATACTGCCATCCGAAGTACCCGGCCGGAAGTCCCCGGAGTTGGGGACTGGCTTCAGTAGAAGCTGCTGGGAGTCTTCCCAGCTTCTAGTCTGTAGTCTTCCGAATAAATCACCAGAACGCGGACACTTCCTCCTCATCTCCAACGCTCCCATGTTTTCTTTTGTGTTGCCATAAGTTAGTCTCTCTCAGTTGGTGCGCTGGGCTAATGCTAATAATGCACCTCCTTAGGTCGTCGACCTGGGTGAGGTTTTCTTACCAAACTTTAGACGAACTCATACCAACTTGCTTTCACCCAAACACAAAGTACTCAAAGATTTTTAGTGATACTTTTCTGACCTTTACACACACGAACACGGGAGGTCGCCCCCAAAGTCGCGTCGGGAACTAAGTATACTTCTGTAAGAGGGGAGGGACAGAACAGTAGCGCCGTCGCTCCCTTCGACGCAACCTAATCGGTGCGAGCGTACATCGGCCTATCTTAATGGTACATTAGTTATCGCAGACACAGAAAAGGTTTCGCTTTATCGAGAGTATGCGAGGCGGTGCCGAAGAGTTGTTCAGACAGTCGGTTCGTCACTGTAAACAACCGAAAGTTTGATATAAAATTGGTCTGTCCAACTGATCGTTGTGGTAAGAATCGGAATTGTTCGGTGGTCGGAGTCCCCCTATGATTGTCGCCACACTCCCAATGTAAATTCGATTTATAGTTATTCCGGCCGTAAGTGTGGGCCCCCCCCTTATAGAAAAGGGTCCTTATCAAGGCTATCCACCGGGGCCTGGGCGAACCCTAAAACGCAAGTTGTGGTTTTTCTAGACCTTGCTCTTGTAATAAAAAGTTCTTGGAAAAGTGGAAAAAAATCAGGGACGATCTCTCGTCCATGAAAGGACCCCCTCTTTTCCAAGGTTAAGGACTAACCGACCCGCTTACGTTTGCGTTGCGGGGTATTCAAAACACTTTCGGCGGGTAAAATAAAC